AGCGATAAAAATAAAGATATCTATTGGTCATGACACTAATCATAAATACCTCTTATTAAAATGTATCATCAAAACATATTTAGACATTCTGCTTAGATATTTCGGGAAAAAGGTTACCGACAAAATCTCTCTTCGGAACTATTTAAATAAAATAGTTTTGTTTCGTAGCGAGTAAAACACTATTGTAAATTCGTTAAATTTGTAATAATTAAGTGATTTTAGAGAGGAAGTCGCAAGGAATGACGTTTGTAATTAAATAAATGTTCTGAAGGTGTTTTTTTTTATCACGCGGTCCCTTGATAAGTCTAAAAATTGGATTACTCTCAACAGAGTGAGGTAGCAAGTAGTAGTAGTAGAGATAGTAGGTACGCCATATGTAAAAAATCAGTGTAGCAACTTTTAAAAATCGTCATATCGCTTACTTGGCAAATTTGAAGCACGACCTGTCTTAGATTTCACACATCTAAATCACATCATCTTTGCACATAACAATATACTTACTTCCTATTAAAGTATAAATTCTACAAATAATTAATAATAATAATAATAATAAAGCCTGTTTATTTCCAATCCATAATGATAATATATTACATGCGATTTAATATCTAAATATACTAGGGTAGAATTTCTTTAATTTTCTTTTATTCGCTAACGTTGCTTTCTCCTGTATCAATGATCGGAACCCCTTCTCGGGTAAAGGCCTCCTCCAGCTTCTTCCAAATCACTTTGTCCATGGCTTTCCTTATCCAATCGCTTCCTGCTATCGCTTTTATATCTTCTATCCATCTTTTTCTAGGGCGCCCTCTTCTTCTTTTTCCTCTTGGTCCTTTCCACATAGTTGTCTGTAATGTCCATCTTTTGTCTGTGCGTCTTGCTATATGTCCTGCCCACTGCCATTTCTGTTTTAAACCATATTGTAAGGCATCTACAACTTTAGTTTTTTGTCTAATTTTTTCGCTTTTTACTTTTTGTATTTTTCTTATTTTTAGTACGCTTCTTTCCATTGATTTTTGACATGTTATTAGTTTATTTTTTGTTTTGGTGCTGAATGTCCACGTTTGGCATCCGTATGTAAGAGTAGGTAGGACACAGGTATCCAACGCAATTTTCTTTAGGTAAAGGGGGGAATTTCCCTTTCAAGATTTCCTTCAGGGACCAAAACTTTTTCCAACTCATGTTGATACGCCGCTCCACCTCTAGTTCTTCATTTTTGTCATCGAATGATAGTTGTTTTCCCAGGTATATGTAATTGCTCACATATTCAAGCGGCTTTCCGTTCAAGTATATGGCGTTAATATAATCATTAGTAACTATTTTTGTTTAATTTTCGTTCATTTTGAGGGCCCACCTTTTCGCTTTCTTCATTTAAACTTGTTATCATTCTTTCTAATCCTTTGCTTGTTTCAGAAAATAAGACAATATCGTCTGCGAATCTGAGGTGTGTAAGCCGATCTTTGTTAATTCTAATCCCTTCCGCCTGCCAGTTAAGATTATCAAAAACGTGTTGCAGTACCATTATGAACAGTTTAGGTGAGAGAGGGTCTCCTTGTCTTACGCCTCTACGGATCGGTATATCAGGACCTCGAAATAATTAATAGTCAAAAATATTTAAAATAAAATGAGCCAAGAACGTTTATCGATAAAACCTAATAACATTAAAATCTTCTGGGCAGCACTAGAACCGCCATGTTTAGCGGCCAGGTGTCGTCACAGCTATGCGTCACAGTGGCACGCATTGTTTTGTTGACGTTTCACTTCCATAGGTTTCATACATAGAATTAGTGTTGTAGGTACCATGACATGGGGTAAATTGGGATCCTGGGGTAAATTGGGACAAACCTGCGGAAGATTCTCAAAGTACCTGTAGCACGGAATCTACCTAATTTTGTTTATGTTAATATTTATCAATGTATAGAAGAAAAACCAAGTTAACTATGGAAGTACTAAATATGAGTTAAGTTGGTCCCAAAAATTCGTCAAATTAAATTGANCATCATTGTTCCAATAGTTGTATCGGTACACGGCTTGATAGCGAAAAGTTTCGATCAACATCTTAAGAAACTTTCGTTATCCAGCTGGGTTAAGGGCCTAATACAGAAAGCAGTTATCCTCGATACTGCACGCATTGTGAGGAGGTTTCTCACTCTGGAGTCCTAACCACTGGTGGCTTGTGTCGTAGACACCGCCATCAGCGGTAATCTATTTTTATATAGTGTTTTTTAAAAATTGTATTTTTAATATCTTTTTTAAAAAATATTATGTAATTAATAAGATTTTAAATAAATATAAATAAATAATAATAAAGCCTGTTTATTTCCAATCCATAATGATAATATATTACATGCGATTTAATATCTAAATATGCTAGGGTAGAATTTCTTTAATTTTCTTTTATTCGCTAACGTTGCTTTCTCCTGTATCAATGATCGGAACCCCTTCTCGGGTAAAGGCCTCCTCCAGCTTCTTCCAAATCACTTTGTCCATGGCTTTCCTTATCCAATCGCTTCCTGCTATCGCTTTTATATCTTCTATCCATCTTTTTCTAGGGCGCCCTCTTCTTCTTTTTCCTCTTGGTCCTTTCCACATAGTTGTCTGTAATGTCCATCTTTTGTCTGTGCGTCTTGCTATATGTCCTGCCCACTGCCATTTCTGTTTTAAAGCATATTGTAAGGCATCTATAACTTTAGATTTTTTCTAATTTTTTTGTCTAATTTTTTCGCTTTTTACTTTTTGTATTTTTCTTATTTTTAGTACGCTTCTTTCCATTGATTTTTGACATGTTATTAATTTATTTTTTGTTTTGGTGCTGAATGTCCACGTTTGGCATCCGTATGTAAGAGTAGGTAGGACACAGGTATCCAACGCAATTTTCTTTAGGTAAAGGGGGGAATTACCCTTTCAAGATTTCCTTCAGGGACCAAAACTTTTTCCAACTCATGTTGATACGCCGCTCCACCTCTAGTTCTTCATTTTTGTCATCGAATGATAGTTGTTTTCCCAGGTATATGTAATTGCTCACATATTCAAGCGGCTTTCCGTTCAAGTATATGGCGTTAATATAATCATTAGTAACTATTTTTGTTTAATTTTCGTTCATTTTGAGGCCCACCTTTTCGCTTTCTTCATTTAAACTTGTTATCATTCTTTCTAATCCTTTGCTTGTTTCAGAAAATAAGACAATATCGTCTGCGAATCTGAGGTGTGTAAGCCGATCTTTGTTAATTCTAATCCTTTCCGCCTGCCAGTTAAGATTATCAAAAACGTGTTGCAGTACCATTATGAACAGTTTAGGTGAGAGAGGGTCTCCTTGTCTTACGCCTCTACGGATCGGTATATCAGGACCTCGAAATAATTAATAGTCAAAAATATTTAAAATAAAATGAGCCAAGAACGTTTATCGATAAAACCTAATAACATTAAAATCTTCTGGGCAGCACTAGAACCGCCATGTTTAGCGGCCAGGTGTCGTCACAGTGGCACGCATTTTTTTGTTGACGTTTCACTTCCATAGGTTTCATACGGTCTATGTTTCATACATAGAATTAGTGTTGTAGGTACCTACTTAATAAACTCCATGGTTTCTTAACTTCAATCAACGAGCCACGAAACCATGGCGAAGGAAGTGACAGCAGTTTTTGACAGCCAGTGACAGCTATTCTCAATAAATTTGACACTATGTAAGTCTTATGCCTTTTAGCTTAAACAGCCAATTTATACTTATAATGGAATGAATAGAATAAATAATATTTCTATCACAGGTAACATAGGGGAACCGTTGGCTGTGTTCGTTAATCGACCGCCCAAGTGCGGCGCGTGTAACGCTTTGAAAGGTACCGTCTCCGGATACCACCGCCGATTGCATTGTGATGTTTGTATTTCGCCGTCAACCACCGCTAGTGATAAGCAGCTAGTTCCCTGTGGATGCGTCGGCATGGCCTTAAGCTGTTAGGCATCCTTCTAAATAGGTTGTTATTGCCATGGTCCGGCTCCTGACCGACTTACAGCTGCACGGCAAAAATTGGCAACGTGGTACCTATATGTGTGAGTTCACAACGCGCCGTGTGAATAGTAATTAAGCAAATTATAATTTATGCAGTTAGGTTTTTTTTACGATGTTTTTCCTCCATTTTGGAAGTCATTTGTGAACCTGTATAAAGTATGTATTAGATCAGAAAAATATATATTTACTTGCGGTATTTGAAAACCGGCCTCAACATCAACCTACACTGTACGTCAAGATTTGAAAAAAATACTCGTTTTGCATGTAAAAAAATAGGTAAAGTTTACTTTGCGATCAAAACATGTATTCTGCGTACCTACTTTTTATGTTACGATGGATGCTTTACCTGCAAACACAAAAGTACGCGAAAATTAAATAGTTTTTATAGAGAAATGTATTTAACTATACATGTAAATGTATATTCGTTATAGATCCAAATATTCTATTTTAAGACTTTTCTTTACATAAACCTTGCCCCTTGCCAAATTCCATTATTCTAGGTCAACAGGAAGTGATCTACAGGTGTTTCTGAGTGATGAAATATTGCTACATTTTTCACTTATTTGAGAATTTTATTAAGTCCTTCTGCCGTGGAGTATTTGGAACTAATTTTAAATTGATTGCTGGGTATTCTTCCCACAGAAACGTTCTTATATGTCAGACAGCTGTTTTAATTTTAAAAGGTAACAAATTTAACAGATATTGAAGTCAAAGGGTGATATTCTTGTGTAATTTGGATTTTTTTTACAAAATATACTGTCACTATGTCTTCAGTAGAACATTAAAAATGAATTGAAGCATCAATTTAACAATAGCTTCCAATTTTTTAATTTTATAGTATTTGCTGTTACTTTTGAAATAATGTTCAAAATGAAAAATTTGATTCATCGATATCAGCTATGAATTTCTATTGGAAAGATTTATTTTATTGGATATCTATATACTGCTCAGTATACTTTGCTGAATACAAGTCTAGTTTATTTGCAATTACAGACAAAAGTTCATTTGAAGATTTTATTTAATTAACAAAACAATTTAAAGCACTAATACTATATCACTATGGAATATCTTTTCAAGATTGTTTATATAAAAATGTTATTAAGAATGTTGTTAAATACTCTCTCTATAAATGTTTAGAATCATGTTTAACAATTAAATCCCTAATTGAATGAACAAATCACTTCATCTGTTCCAATTGGTAATTTGTACAGAAATGTATTCTTCTAAATTATTGTGATTTGAAAATTTCCCATTAGTGATAGATGTTGTAACATGATTGATAAAATTGCACTGCATTCTGTTATTTATCTATCTATCATTTTACTGCCCCCTTGATGTTAAGTAATTAGATGCCAACATAAATGTCATGACTGCTACTTTCAGAAATGAAATTAAGGCCTCAATGGCATTGGAAGTCATGTTAATCTTATTCATGAATCTTAAAGCATAATTGTTCACAACTAAAACGGTGACATAATAATATGGTAAGGAAATTTTATTATCAGTGTAGTTCAGATCCATTTTTCCCAAATTTATTAGATTTGGTAATAAATTCCACTACTATGTAATCCTTCATAGATCTACATAATTTAAAATCATCACAAGACAAATTTGATTTATATATTTTATGATGTACAAATTACTGTGTGCTCTTTAAATAAATATTACCTTTATAAAATAATATAGTAATTTAAAAGTTCATTTTAATATATTACTCACTAAACATATCCACAAACTACACAATTTTGCTATGAAACTTTAAGCTTCAAAATATATACAAATAGTATTACTAAATAGATCCATGAGAATAATTATATACTAAATGATTCTCCACAGCCACAAGTGCCTTTGATATTGGGATTATTGAATACAAACTCTGCAGATAGCTTGTCTTCCACATAATCCATTTCTGTGCCTGAAATGAATTTATTTCATAATTTAATTCAATTTCATACGTAAATACAATATTGCGAAGTGTATCCAATTACATAGTATTATCACAGATGTTTTAAAGTTGTTTATTGATCATTTACATTACCATTTTAATGTATTATTAACATCTTACTGACCTAATAAAGTAAGCTGTGCCTTTTTGTCTATTATGATTGTAACACCGTCTTGTTTTACTTCTTCGTCTAATTTTTCTTTGGTCTTCGCGTAATCTAACGTATATGATAAACCATTGCAACCTCTTTGTCGTACTCCAACTTTTAAACCGACATAACCTTTTGCCTCTTCTTTCTGCATTATTTCTTTAACCTTTTTCACAGCTGACGGTGTTAGTACCAAAGCAGCTCTCGAAGGCAATATTCGTTTCTTTACAGCCCGTACCGTTGCACTAGCTATAATTTTTGTGGTCATCTGAAATTATTAAAATTATTTTCTTACTATTTGTACTATTGGCTTAATTATAATAATAAATTTTATTTTTAATTAAGTTAATTATAGAAGGAACCTTGTACTTACGCTTTAATAAGTATAGTTTGGATCTTGACTATTCTTGACTATATTATTTTCATTGAAATTATTTCATAACTGTTTGACATAACTTTGACTTTGACACATGTCATAACAATTATTATTATTTGTTTAATTTTTTCACTGGGTAGGCAAAGGGGAGTAGAGTCTACAAGATCAAATCTTTTGTGACAAAGACCACGTCAGTTGAATTAAATGTGAAACGCACTCACAACGAACAATTTGTGCTCTTTAGCAGAAATGAGAAGAACGAAGTTGTGTTAATTGTTTTATTTTGTTAATTTAGTGTTTCTTCGGCCTTTAGCACTTTAGAATTATGTTGGCTTATTTAAGTGTTTAGCATGTTGGAAAGTCCACCAATCTGGGAAAATTTTACTATTTTTGTTATTTCATCTTACCTGTTGGTCTTCATGATACTTGGGAACATCCATTAATTATCTATCTCATAAAAAAAATTAAATAAATTTTACTGGCTTGGAAACAAAGTCTTTTAAGCCATCTATCTCATAATTTAACTTTCAAAGTCCACAGATTAAACCTAATATTTGCGTGTGACTCTTTGTTCTCGTCTCTATTGACTGAAATATTAGAAGTTGTAGCAAACCGACCGGTACGTCACTCTCGCGGCCGTATGCCCGCTCGCTATACATAGTTAGTATCTATGTCAATCTTGTAACAGTGTATAATCTATGTTCCGGGCGCTTCCGTTTTGAGTGTGAATAGCGTGCGCCCGCGTCTAAATGTAATTATTGTTTAAAATTGAAAATTGTTTGTGATAAAGGAAGATTAAAATTCGAAATTCGATATTGGTGACTAACCCATAGTTTTAAATACCCCTGAGATCTACCCCTCACTATAAAGTGTATTATTATCTATGTTAAATATAGAACAGATAAGGCTGTATGAGCTTAGATCCCCTTGCCATTCCTAATAAGGAAAAATTGTACCAAAAAAAATATCTATGTTAAATGACACGTCTTCTGTCGGTCAACTTACTTGATATAAATTAATTTTGATAAGTTGTCGGGTTTTAAGTTTTACCCATTGGTGTATTTAATGTTACTTAAATCCGAATGATTTGATACTTACAATGGGCGGTCAAAAATTCGAATATGACGAAAGTGGATCTACATTCTTTTATTTTGTTTTATCATTTCTTGCATTAATATTAGTACCAGCTACATTTTATTATTGGCCTAAAAAACGAAAAGAAGGTATGGATACAAATGTTAAATTCTATTGTTGTATTAATAGATTGATTTGATGTATTAATTTGTTTCAATAATAACAACTTTTAACTAAAATGGGAATTGAAAATGTCTCATGAATTTGTCGAAGGTATCACATAATGCTTTACCGTTAGTATCGAATGCCTAATTGATGACTGTACATCACTGCTTTTTACTAATGCCGGAATTTTTTTAGTCTCACGCTTAACTGATTAAAAAATTACAACCTTTTTAGATCCTGCAAAATTAGCCGAAAGATGTCAGTGTCCAAATTGTGTTAGCAAACAACTAATCATAGAACAATCGCAGCCTTACAAAAGCGTGAAAAATTTCTTTGTGAAACTTGCTATAGTATCTGGATGGGTGCTACTTGGATTTCTGGCATACAAGGTCTCACAGTTTGATTATGAGATGTCAAACTTTGATCCGTATGAAATTTTGGGCCTACCTCCTGGTGCAACTCAGGCTGAAATAAAGAAATCATATCGTAAACAGTCTCTAGTTTTGCATCCTGACAAAGAAACTGGTGACGAGAAGGCTTTCATGAGGCTCACAAAGGCATACCAGGTAAACATAATTAATATTTCATGGATGTTTTTTCTAGGACCTAAATTGATTGTTAATATAAAAAAAAAACTTAACATATTTATTTGATACATAAAGTCAAAAAGCTCCAGTCCACAGTAAAATATAGCATATCTTAGTATCATCACCTTGAAGCAAAAGATCAAATACCCACTTGCAAAGGACTGATGTCTGATTATTCAAACTAATGCTTGTAAGCCTATTGGCAGAAATCTTTTATTTTATGTTCCACATTGAACATTGTCTGAACAATTTTAGATTACGAACTGCAAATTCTTTAATTGAAAATTTGTAATCAATACCTTCAGCTCACTTTGAATAGGAACAGAATATGTGGTCAGTAGAGTTCATAGAAAAATACAGTAATAATGAACTGTATTCAGGATAGAGAGGCCTTTGCTCTGCAGTGGGGTACCACATATGGTATATAATAATGATAATTTATTTTATTTAGGCTCTTACAGATGATGAAGCGAGACGTAATTGGGAAAAATATGGTAACCCTGATGGACCTGGAGCAATGAGCTTTGGCATCGCTTTACCTAGTTGGATTGTCGAAAAGGAGAACAGTGTTTGGGTATTAGGCTTATATGCCTTAGTATTTATGGTTGCACTTCCAACAGCTGTTAGTATACTTTTAGTTTTACTTTTATTATTATAATCAAATCTTGTAAAGTTTTTACAGTAAACACACATACAAGAGCACAAATGCCCGATATACTATACTGTTATCGAGTGATACAAGTATGCAGATATATATATTCCAGAGATCGGTAGAAATTTTCTCAAGAAATATGCATGTACCTGTTGTACTATGTACATGTTTATGAAAACAAAGTGGTATAATAAAGTCGCAAACATTCAAAATTAATAAACCTGTGTAATTATTCATGGTTTGCTCAAGCTTTGATAACATATTCCAAAATCTATTGACCTCATGTCTCGAGATGGGTGGTTACATTTACTTTGTAATGCTTATGGACTCCAGTAATCACTTAATACCAGATGGAATAAGTCAGGCAATCTGTTCACTTATTGAGTGCAAAAAAATGTTATTTGATTTCCCAGCCCTACTGTTTGAAATTTTGAAGCCAGTCATGAGACTTATGACCTGATGCAACAAACTTTTTCATTTATGGCATTCAACAATTGCTTAAAAGAAACGAAGCATATGCTTGTGACATATTATGAAATGTTTAATATTTTTAAAAACAAATATTTTTTTTAGATTCTTGTATTGATCATGTTTTAAATTTCTTTTCAGGTTGGCACTTGGTGGTATCGTTCAATTAGATTCTCTGGGGAACAAGTATTGTTGGATACAACACAAATGTACTTTTATTTTTGTCATAAGACTCCTTCCATGCCCCTTAAGAGAGCACTTATGATATTAGCTGCTTCATGTGAATTTGATAAAAGACACAATTCTGAAATTATCGAGAGGATTACTGACAATGAAGAAGTCCCTAGTGTGAGTATCAAATGAATAAATTTACATTTATAACAATGACAAAGTTAAATTAAAATATATTTTGTAAATTTAGATTACTAAAATTTAAGACCTGCTATAATTAAAGACGAAACAGAGCATATACCACATATCTAGCTGAATGTGGCCATTGACATCTCAAGCGATATAAACGTTAAGGTCTGAGCAAACTTACAGTTCAATCAATTGAATCACATAATGAGGTAGAATATGGTGAATTCATGCTTAGTCATTCATGATTTAAGTCAATGAAAGACTTAATTATGTTATGTATTTGTTAGTATAAAATGCCACAAGTCCATGTGATGCCTATAACATTTACAAAGACCATAAAAATGACAACTTGAATACTGCTGGTACCCATCTAAATAAAAATAAGATTGGATTAGAAGTTATGCAAGAATATCAGTGCCATTTTTTTCTCTTTGTCTTCTAGTTTCTGGCAGCAGGGCACATGTTAAATTCTTCTAACCTAACAACAGTCATTTGACTAACTATTTGATGTAATGTGAATTGTACTACTTTCAAAAGCTTTTAATGTTACATAATTTATCGAATAGAAAAAATAAAAATGGCACGAGTAAAGAAAAAATTACTAGCCTATGATAATTCTAAATCTTCATTCGCCAAAATTTAATGAGTACTTAGTCTTATGATTACAATTCAATAATTTTAAACGTATTCAAATAGCTTCTTCGGGAGTTACCGAATCTTGGCGAGAAAAACAAAGAGCAGCCTCTTTGTCGTCCTTACAGCATCAAGGCTCGTGCGATACTGCACGCTCACCTGTCCCGCATGCGCCTTCCACCTACTACCCTGGAAGTCGATCGTCGCTACATAGTATCCCGTTGCCCTGACCTCATCGTAGAATTGGTGAACTGCGTCAATCAACTTATTGCTCTCGCTTATGCACGAAGAAGTAAGTCCTTTTCATACGTCTTCACTAAAATTGTACTATATTCTAAAAAGCCGATTAGGGATTACGGTTGTTGAAACAAGGAAATCACTAGAGGACATAAAAATATATACATATGTATATTTACTGATTCACTAGTCGTAGTGCAAATATACATATCCTGTGGATATCGTTTTATTACACTGTATTTCTTTAACCCAAAAGTAGCTATAGGTAAATAATTATTTTTAAAAATTGACACTCACCCCGGGTTCCCACAACATTGTGCCACCGCATGACTTTCCACCTCACCTGTTAGGCATATTGGTTTTTTTTCAATAGAGGTTCCTAGAGGAATAATGTTAACAATTTAATTTACTATAAACATAATACATATTGGCACAATTGTTATTTTCAATAACAGCTTTCTCAGCATTGTTTTTTTGTTGTTGTTATTTTATGTGCAGCTGCACCAAAGTAAATATAATTGTGTTAGTGTTGAAATTATTTAAGTCAATCGTTTCATTATTAAAAAGCAAATAAGACGTGCATAGGCACGTCTTATTTGATGAAAATAATTAAGATTGATGATCATTTAAAAAAATCTTTCGCAGTACCTCGTCTACCAACTATCGAAACTATCGAAAACTGCATGAAGCTATCCCCGATGATAGTCCAGGGTCTGTGGGAGTATAAATCGCCTTTACTCCAACTACCTTACATAACCGAAGATCATCTCAAGTACTTTACGAATCGCAAGAAACACATCAAGTCCCTGTTACAATTGGCACAGCTCCCTGGAGAAGAAAGACGACAGTTACTCCGGTTCCTGAATGACAAACAATACGATGACCTCATCAAAGTGTTGGGAAATACCCCTTATATACATTT